TTAACGTGACTTGTAGAGGCAGATGATTGTCAAAATGAGCTACAAGAAAAACATCCACAAAAAACAAACTCGTATGCATCAGCAAACATGCAAGGATATCTCAGGATATCAGAGGTACTAAATGCTTCCATGAAAGGTTGTGAATAACTGATAGAGTGAAATTCACAAAGGATCTGTTGAAGTGCGTTCACATCAAAGCTGTGGCCATCTTAGTTTGTGATAAATATTTATACTATATTGTTTACAGGAGGTTTTTGCAGATAAGTCAGATTATTAATCATGTGCCCACTAAGCAGCTGCACATGGTATAACTGTATATCTAGATTTATTATATGGCTACACCATGTTCGACTGCTTAGTGGCCACCTGGACCATTTTACTAATTTAATGTCTGATGATACACATTTGAGAATTATTTTTACAGGATAACTCCTTAGATAAGTTAATCATCACAAACCACAACTAGAAGTGCCTGGGTTCATGCTAAATGACCTGTATGTTAATAAATGCTGATGTTTGGGATGCTAGTATATCTATTCGTATTACTATAGCTGTCAACATAAAAGTATCAGCAATCGTGAGGCAGAAAAACACTGGAGCCTTCAAAAGGAGTCGGGCAATTCTGAACGAAACAGCCCCCCAAACACCACAGCACAAAGACTGCAGCGCAAACAACACCAGCGGTGAGTGTGCATCCCGCCATATGGAGGGGGGGGCGACATCATAGACAAGAGCGTTATGGGGAGGACCATATGTTACAGCGGTGCTGTGAGCCTGACGGATTCATGTCCATCACTTTCCGCTGTATCAATTAAAGGCCCTTGAAGGCTGCGTGATTTGTGCCTGTGTTATTAAAGCCCGCTAATTCGTCCTACTTACATATTCTGTATAAATCTCCGCGAGGGCCGCGTGATTCATGGCGTTCGCGGGGAGCTCGCCGGCACATTTTTCTCCTTGTAATTAACAGTAAATTGTTTTTACTGCCGAGCGATGAATTGGGCCCCGCTTAGGCCGCAAATGGGGGAGTGGAGGCGGGCGAGTGGCGAACAGTGGTGGAAGGGCTGAGGGAGTCATTAAGTCATCATATGTGGTGAGATGGAGATGGTTAATAAGGACAGGAAGAGACGAATAAAGTGAGGGACTTGGAAGTGGCACAGCTGGGTAATATGGTGAAAATATTATATGGTATTTGAAGAGACTTTCACGATACATGATGTGTATCATGATGTTTAGTTTTTGTGAGGTTTGCGAACAAGCTGGAATGGACAGAGCGCAGCAGCAAAGTCACGACAGCGAAGAACAATGATTACAATGATTACGTTTTCTTTCAATAACTGCATAAACAAACTAATAAAGAGAGAACAGAAGGAAAAAACAAACAAATGGTAAAACTCAGTTCATACGGTAAGATAAGGGCATCCAACTAGCTGCTTGGTTTTACGCAAGTTTTGCATTTATTTGCACTCATTACTTTGCACTACACACAATATCTTACAATGTAATTTATAGAGTCTGTCTTGGTCTTAAAACAAATGAATGATTTTTGTCTTGTCTTGATCTCCACAGTATTTTGACTGTTTTATCTTGATCTCAGGCTGAAGAGGACTCACAGCAGTGTAAACTGAAGCGCATTTTAAACCAGAAGCAGCTACTGCTCCTCACCCAGTGTGCTATTGTGTTAATGTGGCTGGCCCTTTATACTGGGAGCACACACAAGTCTATTCTGTGCCGTTTGACCCTAGAAGCATAAATAACATACAGTCCTACAACATTTCACTCCATCAAAAGACATAAAAAGCGCAGGAACTTTCCACTTTGCTGCAAAGTCTTGTTTTGCATTCGTCAAAAAACCCTCAAGACTTTTGGGACAATATTCTGTGGACTGATGAGTCAAAGGTGGAACTTTTTGGAAGACATGAGTCCTGTTACATCTGGTGTAAGGCTAACACTGCATTCAACCATAAGAACATCATACCAGTGAAACAGTGAAACATGGTGGTGGTAGTGTGATGGTCTGTGGCTGCTTTGATTCTGGAGGAAAAGGGTGATTTCTCATAATTGATGGAACCATGAATTGTGCTCTCTGTCAGAATATCCTGAAGGAAAATGTCCACCAATCAATTTGTGAACTAAAGCTGAAGCGCAGTTGGCTTATGCAGCAGGACAACGATCCGAAGCACACAAGCAAGTCATCTCTGAATGGCTCAAAACAAACAAAATGAAGGTTCTGGAGTGGCCGAGTCAAAGTCCTGACTTCAATGTGATTGAGATGCTGTGGAAACCTTAAATGGGTAGTTCATGCTTGAAAACCCTCCAATGCAGCTGAATTTAAACAATTCTGAAAAGAAGAGTGGCCTAAAATTCCTCCACAGCGATGTAAACTACATCATATCTCAACTTCAGCAAAATGCCATCACACTCATTTGTTGGCGCTTCATCCTACAGCAAGACAATGATCCCAAACATACTGCCTAAACAACAGAGGGGGTTTTGAAGATAAACAGAACATTTTTAACTTGCCAAGTCAGTCATCTGATCTGAATCCAACTGAGCATGCTTTTTTAGAAAAGAAAAAAAAAACAAAAAGGTGGGGGACTAGCCCTTGAAACAAGCAGGAGCTGAACATGGCTGCAGTACAAGCCTGGCAGAGCATCATCGGAGAACATACTCGACATGTAATGATGTCTATGAGTCTCTTCAAGAGGTTTTCCTTTCCTTTTCCTTCCACATCTTAATCTGGTCTCCGTCTTCACTCATCTTTCTCACTCTTGGTCATGGTCTTGACTTGAACTCTATATATCTCCAAGTCTTGGTCTTGATTCTGTCTTGCCTATAATGGTCCGGATTACAACACTAGTAATTTATTAAGATAACAATAACATATAGCCATATTGCCCATCCCAAGGACAAAGGAACGTGGTGCCCAAGCTAAACCATCATTGTCTTAAGTCCGTAGGGCACAGCCTGCGCCCAGAAAGGAGAAAGACAGAAAGAAACAAAGACAGAAACAAAAGGAGTCTGATTTAAAGGCTTGATGACATACTTTCGGAAAGTGTGTGAACGCCAGAACCCTTTCTCCCTCCAACCTGCCCGCCTGTTTCCAATTTCATCAATTTCAAAGTATGAAAAATAATAGAGATAACCTGAGAGTGAATCTAAAATAGCTTTTATTCATATTCCTCAGAGATAAAAGCCTTCCATTTCAATGGAGAGTAGGCCAAGCAGTATTTGCTCCAATTCATAGGTTTACACACGTCACGGTCCAGCGCTGGGACAGGGCTGCGCAATTAAAGGTGCCATTCGGTTGTCCCTGAGCAGCTGGGGACTGGCCTTTAAACAAAGTGACTATGAGCGATGACGGACACTTTTCATTAAAGTCACTTCATTAATATTAAAATGGAAATTAACACGTATCCTGCGCTTCGGTCTAAGGCAAAAACGTACTTCCCGATTTATACTTCTAATTAGACATTGAGAGACTGCTCACACGCAACACTGACGCACAAGAACAGAGCACGATCGAGGTGCTGAAGGAGAGCTACAGCACAGGAATGCAGTCATTAGTATAATGTGCATTTTAGTTATTTTTCCTATATGGCCCAGCACTAGACTGGGGCCTAGGGATGGGCCAAATATCATGATCACAACGCATGATAAACATCACATTATACAACAGTTAGTTCCGGTCACGCAAGCTGATTGGTTGAGAAGTGTTGATACAGTGTGAAAAAAATGTGCTGTTATTTCACCATAACATCAGTTTTTCACAAACACTGTATCACTCCGCTGAGACACCGTTGCTAAGCAACGACTGACAGCTGTCGGAGACATTGAACGAGCCATTTGAACGTTTTTAATTCTTACTTTGCCACAAACAGAAAATGGACACTTTAGATCACATCTGACTGACAGCCGATTTGGTCAGACTCTGAAGATGAGACGACACCAAATTCCCGATCTGTCAGTTGGTCTGTGTGGAGCTGGAGAACGAACTGCCGGCTGTGCAGCGAGTGGGCGGAGCTCATTACTCTGACGTAGCAACAAGCTGCTCGTTAAGGAACTATAATTTGGTGAAGGAACTGCGAACATTAAAACATATTAAACGCCGCGTTCACGGCCCAGTTTATTAATTTATTACTTTATTTATTTAACTGTTGTATAAAAGCAATAGAACACTCGAGGAGTGTGTTATCGCCAATAACATCACGGCTGTGATGATCTACGGCGACCAAATCACAGCAGTGATGATATTTCGTGATAACACCCGACCTCGAGTGTTCTATTGCTTAATTATGCATTTAGTTTTTCTGAGGTCAACAAAGTTTAGTTTTTCTCAGACAACAAAGATCAGGTGGTGTCATGTTTAAAAAAGACTATGCAAAACTATGATTTTCATTTCCATTCAATGTGTCACATGAATGACATTCAGCATCATAAGTGAAACACTGAATTGAACGGAAATTATATTCATAGTAAATATCCACAATTTGAGCACTGTGGCATAATTTATCACATTGGGTGGCCGATATTTCCACAGATATATTGATATAAAAAAAAACTGCTAGAAAAACCAGTATAAACTAGCACAGTTGGTCACCAACAAAACCAGCATATGTTGTGTTCTGGATGTTGGTATGCTTGTCATCCAGCATGACCATGCTGGGTGACCAGCTAAACCTGGACCAGATGACCATAAACCATCTTAGACCAGCAAAAAATTCAGTAGAGTGATGATAAATCCCTGATAAAATCATAAAAAAGGTAAAACGTGGACACACTAAATACTGAAAATAATAATATTATATTTAGTTATTGAGGCTTCTGTGTAATTTTCTGTTAATTATGTTTTCTTCATTCAAATTGTACTTGATTGCAATTTTGACTGGAAAAAAATGATAATTACATAACTATATAATAGTATAACTATATAACAGTAATTACATAATAGAAACTGTGGTGTACTGGTGGATGCAGAGGTGTAATTGTGGTGGTTTACTGACCAGAGGGCCGCGTGCGTCCTGAAGCTGGTAGGCTGGTCACACAACCCTGTGTGTTACATACGGTCACTGTGAAGCTGTACTCCTCATAGGCCTTCAGGCCCACCACAGTGTAGCTCCGCTCCTCTGCTGAGGCACTGTACAACAGCTAGTAAGGGCACACACACACACACACACACACACACACACACACACACACACACACACACACACACACACACACAGATTACAGAAGAATTAAAATGGATACACAAAGCTGTACACATACTATATAAACACTTACACTTTATTAGATAAAAGGTTTTTCTAATTCCACTTTATTAGAAAAACCTACCTTTTACTTAAACTCAGTGGACATTTATTCCACCTACTTTACAAATACACTGTACAGATGTACAAACATAGACTGTAGCCGAACTGTTGTCTTACAGAAACTGCCAGTTATCATCTACTCTATCTATCATTGGTCAGATTCTGACCACTGGACTGCTGTTGTCCAGATATTATTTGGGTAGTGGAGCATTTTCAGCACAGCAGTGACTCTGACGTGGTAGTGGGATGCTAGTCTGTAGTGCTGGTATGAGTGTATCAGACACAGTGGTTGTTGCTGGGATTTCTACATACATTAGCACTGCTGCTAGATTAGTAGCTCCACTGACAAAGGGTTAGAGAATGCCACAGATTGGTGCTTGGAAGCACATCAGCTAGGCAGACTTACAAAGCAAGTGTTTCTCATAAATTGGCCAGTAAGTGTAAACGGAATGACCCATTTAAGCCACTTGGAGTAAAGCCATAAACATATGTTCATGCAAGAAAGCAAATGCAAACAGTTTTGCATGTTCTAAAATGTGTCACTATGCACTTCTTAATGCTATTGTGCATTCTGAGCGACGCACAAGGGGTGCGATAGCAACAGCCAAACCTGGCAAGTGTGATTTCGGCCGGTCAACTGTACTGACATGGCAGACCAGTCTCTCACAGAACTGGTTATATACCTATACATACACTTAAATTTAATTTAAAGTTTTTCCAGGTGAAAAGTTCGTATTTGTACCTTTTCATAACCGAATGTTTTAAACAGAACAGTAAAATAAAAGCCTGGAGACGAGACGGGGTGTGTGGAGTCAGTACCGCTTAGAACATATCATTTCAGTGGATTATGGTTCAGTTATGTTCCCTGACTAAAGGTACTAAGATGGAGCCTTGAGGGTTCCACTCCAGTGACAAGAGGGGCACTGACCCAGAGGCAGCTTAGTACCCAGAGCCGGCCACACCATCACATCCTTAACCAAACGTCCCTGGCCACAAACAGTGGCACCCCAAACAGTTAACTGAGTATTTGAGTACCTGTGCACATCCCTAATAAACACACCACAAGGAGTTCCTAAACAATGTATACTTACTAGAATATTACAGACAAAACCCGACCCTAGATCAGCCATCTTACTACAGACGATAATACCCAGTATGAGAGGTGGTTTGAAACTCCTACTGTATAGAATATCACTGTTGTCGGAAGAAAACCTTGTATCTCCATTTTTGACATAATTTGAAAATACCTGGTACCCTTTACATTGTGAGTAAATTTCATGATGAATGGACTAAAAGAAATGATCCAAAATGACTGGGGAAAACGTCTGGTTCCATTGACTTACATTAAAAGTCGTTTTTTTCCTTTTCCTGTAAAGTTACCATTTTGGAGATACGAGGTTTTCTTCCGACAACAGCAACATGTTTCTCTGGGTAACAAACCCACTCATTTCATCATCAGTTCAATATTTTACCCAGCAAGAACGCAAATACACACACACGCAGTGTCTGTCATACCCAGCTGACTTGACATATTTGTTCAAAGAAAAAAGAAAAAGGGTGAAAAAAAGCATATCTCCAGGACACCGATGAAAAATATTAATGCTAACACCTACTTATCAGTCTAATTAAAATCTAAGATAATGAAATCCAATTAAAAGGAAGGTTGTTAAGGAAAATTAAGCTCATCAAATCTCCTTGAAGCTGCGTACACTAGGAGAGGAGAGGTGATCCGATACGGGCAGCGGCCGCCCGTGTGAATGGCTGGTCCTGTTCAGGACACTGAGCCACTTTAACCTTTGAAAGGTCCTCTATTTCAGACAGACACCGAGAGGACATGAGGTTTCACTCCAGTGAAGGGGGACACCTTTCTGGACAGGTGGGGCCACGGCAAGCGCACAAGCACCAACGTGAGGAAAGAGCAAAGAGAGAAAAACGAGGAAGCATGCACAAATGAAGGTTACTGGGATGAAATAACCCACGGTCAGTCTGTAATTGCCTCAGCTGCTGACTCTCCAAGGGGCTACTGCGGGCAAATAAACAATAAATTGTTTCTTATTCACCTCCTCCAATGGGAACTGCAGCTTATCCTTGTCCGGCAGAAATAAATAGGTCCATGTAAATGTACCATTTTAGGAGAAAACTGTACTTCTTACTTGTGCTAAACGCTGCCCTGACCCCCTCTTTTTTGCTCTGGTTTGAATTGATTGATGACAGCAATAGGAGCTTTTTATTGGACTACATGTTTGCATATGCATGCAAAAATTAGTTATACTACTATATAGAGCTATACTGTTTTGGTGGCAATTAGGATGATGAAAACAGCTCAGTGCTAAAGGGAACTGGTTTAGGGGAAAAAGCTACAATAAAGCTAAAAATAAAATATTACTGAAAACAGATCAATAGAATATTATGAAATATTACTAAAAACAGAAGTACTGTGCAAAAGTCAGAGACCACCATTCATTTATATAATTTCGACAGGGCCATTATGTATATGAGTTATTCATTTTTCAGTCAGGAAAAACATATTTAACAGAAAATTACACAGAATATACACAGATATAATTATTGTTCAGTATTTCGTTTGTCCACGTTTTGCTTTTATTACAGATTCCATTCTTTTCAGGAGACCTGCTTTCAGTTTTTCAGAACAACCTGCAGATATATTTTTCCACACATCTCAAAAGTTCCGTCTTCAAAGTTGGTCGTATTTTCTACTTTTCAAGAACCAATTAAACCCAAACACATTCAGTGGTTTTGAAGTCTGGGCTCTGGAGTGGCCAGTAAATCTCAATTTATCTTTCTCAGCAAAAGCTTACTGTCAGCTGCAGATCCTTTCAGACTCATACAGTGGAAGGATGGACAGAAACACTCTGTTTTTCACATTGTTCTTCAGATGTGATGCAAAAGTGAAGCTTGATTGATCTCTCAAAGATGAAAACATTAAGCACTGTTTATCTGAGGGTGACAGGTGTGGTGGTCTACCAGGTCTTGCAACTCCTGGGAGTCACTTGAACTTAGTGCCAGTTTTGACTGGAAATTATTTAAAATAAATGAAGTGTGGTCTCTGACTTTTGCTCCGTACTGTAATTAATATTCTTTGCCTTTATTTTTACTATATTTACACAATTATCAAATGGCCTACAGTAGCATGGATAAATCAGCTCTACATACAAGTGATTTTATGCTTCATTGTTATGACAGACGCTCTGGTGCTAGCTTGGCATGAAAGCTGGTCATACGATACCTGTGTGACTACGGGAGGGGCATATGGGTTGGTGGTTTGCTCTTGGTGAAGGCTGACCCTGTATTCGGTCACTCTGCCCCGGACGTCTCGATCCCGTGGCGTCTCCCAGCTCACTAGGAGTGCAGACGAAGACACTGGAGACACCTGAGGAGGGCCCATGTACTCAGGTACTATGGAGTGAAGAGACAAACAGGTACATAGTGACAAACGCTCACGAAGAGATTTTTTTTTTTTTTTTTACATAATAGAGCTTCTATGATGCAATTTCAGAGACATCTAACAACAATAAAAGGTTGTATCATATCGTACATCACTGCCCCATTCACTGCGTCATATAACAATGTCCTGAATCAATCCCTGTTTATTGCAAATGAGTGCCAAAATAAAAGACAAGCGTCATGAGAATGTGATCAGAATCAGATCAAAGATGTATAAACGAAACCACTGTACACAGGTAAACAAAGGGCTGAGTTTCAAGGGCTGTTGATGGACTCAGGGGCCCCAGTGTTTAGTGAGCAAAGTATGGGCTCAGGGCCCTAAAGTCATTCACTTATTTTACTTATTTAGTCATTTGTACAAATTCAAGGTTTATTTTTCTGCAGTAGACTGTGTTGAGCTGGCTTGGGTCCTGTGATCCGAGGCCCTCTGAGGTGCATGACAGACAGAGGCCCCGGGGCACTGGGCCAGTCAGTAACCCATCCCTTTTTCTAGACCTATTTACTGAAGTCTTTTTCATAGACCTAAATGTAGTTGTCACTCTAGTCACTGTTCCTATTGAAACACTAGCCGGTTGAGCAGTCTTTGCCATCCACGCCAGTAATGAACCCCGTTTCAAAGCACTTAGATCTTTTCCTCTTGCCATCGTGACCAAAGTCAAGGTCAGCTGGGCCTGCTCAGCATTTTTATACATGCCACATATAAGATGTTAGCTACTTAATTGTCTCGTGCAGTACCAACATCTGGAAGCACCTGCACACGGTATGTTTCTCCACTCATTTATTTAGGTTCTTCCTTTAATCTGCCATCCATCTCCATATCTGTAAACCTGACGCTACCTGGGAGAGTAAAAATCATATTTAGAATGACTGCACAACAATAAGTTCAACTGCAAAGGTTTTAGAAAACTAATCGGAGCTTTACAAAACATTTTCATTTCAATTCAAGTACTGGCAGCACTTCACTGGCTTCCAGTTCAATATACAATACAAATTAACCTCTTTAACTCTGTGGAACCACCGGTGGCTCCAAAATGCACTTTGTCATATTCTTTACTTCATAACTTTCATATTTCATAAGGTACATTCTAAAGGTGGGGGTCGTATGAGAGCTGTAACTGTCTTCTTTCCAGTCAAATAGATGGGTGATGTAATTTTAAACCCTTATAATAAAAGAAGCTGAACTCACAATTTTTTTTTTTCGACTCATTTTTCCACAAATCTGAGCTATAAACTATAAACAGATGGCGTCTCCTCAGTGATCTGCTCTGTAAAAATTATTTTTATAAAATAATACAAAGAGCGTCTAAGATTTTTGGCTTTCAGCAGTAAATTGTAAGCATATAGCAATATGTGTGATCATAAAACACATGTTCTGTTAAACAACAAAAAACAACTAAACTTTACATTTATTTAATGCAGTTACTGAATAATTTGCCTTACGATTTAGGCGTGTAAATTCAGATTTAGGCATGTAAATTCAGATTTAGGCGTGTAAATTCAGATTTAGGCGTGTAAATTCAGATGGAAAAACCGAAATATACCCACGAGCATAAGAGGTATTTTTTAATTGTTTTTAACGCCACTGATGGACTAGTGAGACTTTCTAAACTCCCACGAGACATATGACAAGCATCTTCAGTTAGCAGCTTGAAAAAGTAGATTAAAACATAAAAAAATCTTTTTTACCTTAGATTCCTATATTTTATTTTGCTCATTTTATTTTTTGTATTATTTTATGTCCTACAATTTCTTTTTGTCCCATTTCATTATTATTATTACTATTGTCATAATCTTTTCTTTTATACATAATTATTTTCAGTTACTTTATTATTTTGTTTTACACTATTTTCCTTTTTTTGTGCATCCTCTATAAAGGGACAGTGTACATTTACGCTCCCACATGCCAAAATCAGCCGTTAGAGCTCTGCTCTTAACACAATCCACAGCTAGTATGGTATAAAAACTCCAGATAGTCTTGTCAAGAGAATGACACAACGCAAATATGAAAAAGTTGTTGTTTTTTTTTTTGTCAAAACAAAAGCTAAGTTGACAGGAACATGAAACCATCTCCTCCTTCGTTACCATTCTAAGTCTTGTTCACTGAGATTTTGGTGAGAAACGTAGTAACTCCTAGCATGTTTATGGTAATCATCGGCTTCTTTGCTGGAAGCTGTCATGCTACCTCTGCAGTATTAGCCACCCACTGCTGTCCTCCTTAATAAGCAGCAACTGAAAATCAATTCTCCAAGAAGCCAAACTGAAACTGCAGGCAGATACACAAAGCTGACACTTTCACAGAGTGAATGTGGATTCTGTTCTTCTAGAGAAACTGCATTTTGCCATAAGAAGCACAAAAAGCTGCTGTAATAAAGGTCAAGAGAATGAAAGCAGTTCATGGGCTGTGACAAAGAAGTGACTCGGCTCATCAGAAGATACCTAGATCACTAAATACAAAAATAAAGGCTAGACATGCAAAACAAAACAAATTCAGATAATAATCCATATATCACTGCTGTCGGAAGAAAACCTCGTATCTTCAAAATGGTAACTTTACAGGAAAAGGAAAAAACACACTTTACTTTTAATGTAAGACAATGGAACCAGGATTTTTGGGCCGTTTCTATTGGTTCATTCATCATGAAATTTACACACAATGTAAAGAACAACATGCACTTTCAAATTGTGTCAAAAACTGAAAAACAGCAAAAATGGAGGTAAGGTTTTCTTCCGAAAGCAGCGATATGAGACCTGAAGGGCTTCTAGATCTTCAGAGAAGCATGAATGTAACATTGTCATAGAGGTTGTTTTTTTAATGTTTTGTTAGTTAATCACATTTCTTTTGCTTGCTCAAATTTGACCCTAAAGAAAGATTTTTTTCATTTAAAAAGTCCATCATTTTGTTACAGCCACATGAGCAAAATAAGCTTCATCAGAGTGTATTTATTACTTTCAATAATTCAATGACTTTCTAAAGTCAACAATATGATAAACAAATCCACAGCATTGTAATAACTGGAAATAACTTTTTAACAGCAGCATCAATGAGACACCGTGTTTGAATGAGAGGGCTACTGGAGGAGGTAGCAGGGCTTGAGGGTGGAACTATGGATGTTTCAAACAGCCAGACTATGAACGTGTTGACTGTGACACCAGCAGAATGTTGCCTTAAAGGTGATACATATGACATTTTAGTCATTAATACAGCAGCAAACAACTATTTTCTATGCAAAGACATAGCAGACTAAAGGCGTCCTGAGCAGAGAATGGAGACACGCCCTCCCCGTGTGAGATAATCTTAGCCTCTCTGTTGTTTGTTTTCATAGCTGGTCTGGCCGTGTGTGCATGTTAGTCCTGCCCTGAGAAAACGTCGGCCCTCCCCACGCTGTGTTTGCCCTACCCAAACAATGACCGCCTACACAGAGCGCATTCACAATTTAAGGTGGAACAGGAAAATTCCAACAAGAAGCTGAGGCGCTAGATTGTCATCTGGCTGCTGCACCTTTTAAGGTGGAACGGGAAAATTCTAACAAGAAGCTGCTGCTGCAGCTTTTCGAACAAGAATCTGGCGAAAAAGAACCTAACTTAAGATAAGAAAAGATAAGATAATCCTTTATTAGTTCCACAACAGGGAAATTCTCAGTGCTACAACAGCAAAGGGAGAGCAAGGCACTCAATAAAAGACAAGAAGTAACAAGAAGAGAATTAACAAGTAAGTAATTAACCTTAATTACTTAACAAGGTTTTTACAGTTTGTTACTTGTTACTTTGTAGACAATATATATAATACTAAAAGTAAAAAATAAGATAAAAATAAAAATCAGCTTCATTGAGAATTGAAATGCATGAAAACGGATGAGGAGGTCGCTCCCGCGTGACAGTTGGGTAACATTAACTCATTTTTGCTTTTTCACAGAACCAGTAGCTCAGTATTGTTTTGTCCTGTTTGCGAATGTTTGTGCTATCAAGTGATTAGATTCACAGCAGCAACTGTAGCAACGGTTTGCTAAGCTATAACCTCGCTAACATTAGTTACATTACTTGCTGTGATGTAGTTCGATCTAATGTTATATCATCGTATTTGTCTACAACATTCGCGAAGGGTTTTATGGTCACAAAGATCTAAAAAAGCGTGTTGGCCTCGATAGCGCGCGTCCATGAGTTTGGGGGCTGGAGCTTCTGAAGGAGCACTGAAGGAAGGAGTGTTTGTTTTTCTGTTGAGTTCAAATATCAACAATCGTTATTCAGATTCATATAGCACTACTTTAAGAGCTACATCGTGCACAGGGACATTGGGACCTGGATCAGGAATTGAACTGACAATCTTCTATGTGTAGCTAAGGAGTTATGACTTTGCTAAATATAATGAATGGAAATGCCCACTACTAGTGACTACATGAAATAGACCATTAAATTGGTTGTAATTATCATCTGCAGTTCCAATATTATATTGATAAAAACAATAATATATACAGACTGAAGCCGGGCGCACACTGTGCAGCTTCATCGGCCGTTGTTTGCCGTGCAGCGTGAGAAGGGAAGCAACGCCCGATTAACTGCCCAAACGAGCACAGATTGAGCAGTCGGACAATCGGTTGGACTTATGACGTCAGAAATTTTGGTCACTTGTCTCACAGTCTGAGCCAACTCACGAACCGATTTCTCAAAGTCGCACCCAAAACCTCACACAGTCACCACCACCGCTCCTACACAAAAGCATAGAAGTCCACATTTGCGGCAACAGCATCTGTACATGCTGACTTTGCTCCGTCTGACTGAGTTGAATTGTGAGGTATAAATAAATACAGTGTGTTTGTCTTCGTAGAGCTGCCTGTTCTGCAGACCGCCTGCTCTTCAGCTTCAGTGCCCAGTGTGGCACAATTTGGCAAAGCTGGTGTAGCGGTTTGTCAGTGGCTGAATCTCAGACGGTCCCTCCTTCCTATGTAGTGCACTAAGTTCTGGCTTCTACGCCAAAATAGTGCACTGTTTGTCCAGTATGGAACTGTGGACACGGCTGAATATCAGAAGGCTATTTATTAGGCATGCGATGCACTTTATGGGTGCAGGAGCCACTATTTTAATATGTGGTGCACTCTGTAGGGAGCAGGGAGCCATTTGAGATACAGCCAGTGTTTTGATCAGGACATCGGAGGCGCAGCGTGTTTAGAATGAAACAGCTTTATTGTAGACAGAGCGTCTTTAGGTGCTGCGTTTCACGAGCAGTGTGAGCACCCATGTCGCGTCAGGTCAGTCTGACCGAGTGTTTCCGTACAGTGTGAGCACATAAATCGCAGGGTTTTGCCGAACACGAGGGGCGATTCAAACGTACAGAGTGAGTCACCAAAGAACAAGATTTCTAAAATCACACAGGGTCTGTCTGGCTTTACTTTCTGTCTAAGGCAAGTGGAGTCTTTTCTTTTTAGGGAAGGTTTATGCTGTTGGGGCGTGAAACTAACCTCCCTCTCCAGTACGGCCCGTGGTCCACTCTGACGTGGTGCTGCCTGCCATGTTAACAGTGAGCACCCTGAAGCGGTAGACAGTAAACGGCTCCAAATCAGACAACACCACGCTGCTCTCTGGCGGAGTCAGGGCGTTCTCATTGGCCGAGCCCATCGGCTGCCGTGGGTTCAGCCACCCGCTGCTGAGGAAAACCCTGTGCTCTGAGCTGAGACTGGTAACGTTATCCAGCGACTCATTGAGTGCTTGCATAAAGAGCTCATACCTGATGATGATACCTGGGAAGAGAAAAGAGGAGGACAGTAAAGTTGTTACCATTTCATACTGATTTTAGATGATTTTTCCCCGTTTCTCTCACAATAACTGAAATAAAGATATTTGGAAGGCATTCTACTCCTACATCAGCATAAAAGAAAGCAAACTATCAGATCTGCATAGGACAGCATATATAATTGTATGTATATAATAACAACAAAACAATTTCCATAATCTCCCCGATACGCCTTAGCGGAAGGCGGAGGATATTGAGATGTAAGGCCAGCCACTGACAACATGCAATTACAGCTGCAGCACAAAATGACAGAGGAAAGGAAAAAAAACGAGAAAAGGAGAAATCAGATAGACACAATTAAACGGAGAAGAGATTCGCTGGCAGAATCCTCCGAGGGTACTTTATAATGGCCCATGTTAATGAGCTAATTTGTGAAAAAGCATGATAACTGGCATTAAAAGTCATTGATATACAGGAGGCTATTTTGCCGCACTTTCAATGGCGCAAGGCACAATGCATAATTGTATGCGGCAATCAAATGCCTTAAAATGTGAATGCCTCTCTCTGATGCGCGGGGCCATCGGTTTATACCGCAAAATGGAGAACGGGCTGAGCCTTAATCAAGCCTCTTGGTTGTAGATTAAAGTTCACCAGGAATTAATTTTCAGTCAGGCAGAGATCAAATAGCATTTCTGTAATGGTATTTCTCATTATTGTAATGATGAGGCTGAAGTCTGCTAAAAGAGCAGGAGGAAGAAGGAGCTTTTTCCAGCTCTACTGTATATCGCGTTTTGTGATATCACGAAGCACAGCGACCGCCTCATTAGAAAAATCTGTAAGTACTTCTGTCATGGCATACTTTGAAAAAGGACTGCATCAGTACGTTGGGTAAAGGTCCATACAGGGGATCTCTATGTGTAATGTGCTCTACCTAATGAAGAATACTTTTCTGGGTTCATCTCCGGCTCTGTGTGTTTGCTCTGAAGTGCCATCAAGTAATCCGAACAGTAAGATTACATTCTTCAACATACAAAAGACATATTCATAAGTCCCTTTATGCAAGTCCAAGTCAAGTCTTGACTCCATGTGCAGTGAGTCCAAGTCAAGTGTTGGTTCTGTGATGTATGAGTCCAAGTCAAGCCTCAAATCTTTGAGGTACGAGTCCAAGTCTCAAATCTTTGAGGTGTGAGTCCAAGTCAAGTCTCAAATCTTTGAGGTACAAGTCTAAGTCTCAAATCTTTGAGGTGTGAGTCCAAGTCAAGTCTCAAATCTTTGAGGTACGAGTCCAAGTCAAGCCTCAAATCTTTGAGGTGTGAGTCCAAGTCAAGTCTCAAATCTTTGAGGTGTGAGTCCAAGTCAAGCCTCAAATCTTTGAGGTGTGAGTCCAAGTCAAGCCTCAAATCTTTGAGGTGTGAGTCCAAGTCAAGTCTCAAATCTTTGAGGTGCAAGTCCAAGTCAAGTCTCTGACACATGAGTCTGAATCTAATCTTGAGGCTTTGAGGTGTGAGCCAGAGTTAAGTCTCAGGTTCTTGAGGTGCGAGTCCAAATCAGGACTAGAGTGTTTGAGGTGTGTGTCTAAGTCAAGTCTTGACTCTTTGAGGTGTGAGTCTGAGTCAAGTCTGAAGTCTTTAAGGTGTGAATCCAGGTCAAGACCCAAGCTTTTAATGTGTGAGTCCGAGTGAAGTCTCAAGTCTCTGAGGTGCGAGTCCGAGTCAAGTCTCAAGTCTCTGAGGTGCGAGTCCGAGTCAAGTCTCAAGTCCTTGAGGTGCGAGTCCAGGTCATGAATCAAGTTTCTGATGAGAAAGTTTTTGAGGAGCGAGTCTGAGACAAGAGTCAATTTTTTTTAAGGTGTGAGTCTAAGTCAAATCTTGAGTTTAGAGGTGTGAGTCAGTCAAGTCTCAAGTCTCTGAGGTGCGAGACTGAGTCAAGTCTCGAGTCTCTAGGGCTGGGGGTATGTACTACATGAATTTTAAAATCGTAAGAGATTTTAAAACGCAGAGCATCACAAACTTAACGTCAGTGTGTCACAGAATTTCTTGCCTTTGTGTCGTGAGGCGCTCTGGGCAACAGGGCAAAGAGAGAGAGTAACACACATTATGAGTTTGGGCTACGAATAAGAACTCAAACTCCCAGATCTGGATTGAACACAAACATATCGGCTCTTATCTGCCTGTGTTTAGCACGCGGCTCCTCTGTCTCTGCTCCGCTGTTAATACGACTCTCTGATTGGCTGTTATTTGAACAATTAGTTGAGTAAATCTCTGACCGTCTCACACCACAGGACTGTGTACGCTCTGAGCTGTAAATATCAAACATGTTTGCTAATATTGGGGGTCCTCCGTTCACTTCAAAGTTCGATTGGAGGGCTAAAGATTCACTAGTTTCTCACACCACAGTTCATCCGCGCTGTCAGTCTCTTCCAATCATGCCATCTGGCAAGTTAGCAAATTATCCAAACAATAGTCTACCCAATCTCTTGGGGAATTTTTCGAGGTTTTTTTTGTTTTTCTTTTAGATATCTTATAAAATTCACATTATGCCAGTTTATTATACATACCACATTTATTGCATGGGGAATTTTGCTTATGTCAACCAGATTCAAGGTTATTATATTATAATAAAACCCTTCTTATTTGAAGTTGTTTCTCTGAATCAGGTCCCCATCGCTGACATACAGTATCAACTAACATGGCCCAAACGTCTCCTTTACCATTTGGCAGGGCTGGCGGCTCCCAGTCCACTCGCATCTGGGTGGAACTGAGAGTGGTCATGTGTGGTGCGGGCTGCTGCTGGGGTGAGATCTGGGCCGTGATCAGAGTGACGTTGTTGCTGTAGGCACAGCCGCCGTTGGTGCAGGCTTGGAGGCTGAAGATGTAGCGGGTGAAGGGCTGCAGCTCGTCTACAGTTACTTCCGACTCCAGGCCCTCATAGTGGACGTGCTCCTCTCCGGTTTGCTCCTCTACAGACGTCAGGGTGTAGAGCTCCACGGGGCCAGAGGCGTTCAGCGGCTCGGTCCAGTTGAAGGAGGCGCTGGTGGGTCCCGGGCGGCCCACCAGGCTCAGCTGGAGCTCGTCTGAGTCAGGGACAGAGGCCAGAGTGCGCAGGCTGATGCTGGAGCTGCTGGTGTTGCCGTGGACGTTGCTGGTGATGAGCTGGTAAGTGTAGAGAGTGTACGGAGACAGACTCGAGTCTATGAACAGCACTGTTCCTGTATGAGAGAGTAACATGAAAGGGAAGTTAGATTAGTTATATAGTGGTTTACAGCTCAGTATGCACATACAGACTGCATCATATGGACGAAATACCATATTACAATGATAACGGTAGATACTGTGATTGTGATATATGTTTAAACATATTAAAAACACAAATGGTGAAAACTTGTGACATGTTGAAGCAATGGTCTGCACTGGGAGCAAAAATTCTATGAATTATGTAAATGTCACTTCATTCAACACCCAGGACCATTTGGAATTATTATCATCAACACTCGTACATGCATTTAATTTAACCTTTAACAGCCTTTTCATTAGTTTATTTATCTTTTGAACATTTCCTTGAACTTTTGTGAAGTCCTCAGGTGCAAAATACCTTTTGTACATCACATTCACAGCTAAAAGAACCACTGGTTTAAAGAACTATGCATTAACGCACAGATAGAAATGCATTTAAATTGCTATACTAGAAAAGCCAACTGTAGGAAACCTCTATGACACTGCAACAATCCTAAAAGACAGTCAGGTTTATGCCTTGATAGGTCATGAATATGCTCCATGTATTACATTCATAACTATCTATAAGCAATAAGAAGCCTAAGTCTAATCTGAACGTGTGTGTACATGTGCCTGGACTACCAAAAGGATGCAGGCTGGGGCTGCTATGGATGGGCTCTGAATCGCGGAGCAGGGTGTAGGTGAGGGCATTGCTGTTGGGGGAGTCCGGGGCGTTCCAGGTCAGCTTTATGGCACTGGCACTGAGCACGGTACCCAGCGGAGGAGGCTGCTGCCTAGGCTCTGAGCAGCACCGGGAGCAGGAGGAAAAAGAGATACAGATGGTTAACTTCCTCTAAGGTCATGATGGAAAAATCAACATAATTGGCCAAAGGAAAACAACAAGGCTGAAGATCTCACTGCTGGCAAATAAAACGAATGCATTATTATTAACAAATGGAAAACAAAAGTGCATGGTCTTGGGGTGTGGGGCTTGTTAAATGTGCTAAATTAATAAAACAGATTTGTTGGTGTGGTAATTAAGCCTGGCATTCCCCCCCTACAGACAACTTATACACTAGAATATAAAAGGCATGGTAGAGAACATGTCAGAGCTCTAGTGGTAAACATGTAACGCTGTAAGTGTAAACAGAGCCATAAACAGGGCTCCTGGTGGTAAAGATGTGATGCATTTTACTAGCAGAGTTACTGCATGCCTGAAAAGAAAGCAATGGGACATAAAAGAAGCAAGTGAGATGAAAGAAAAGGGTCAGTGAGATACAGCGGAACAGAAATAATGGAAGTCTAAAAAATAATTGCTCAAACATTGTTTTTGCAATGATCACTGATACTAAAAATGGATGTAAACATTAAAAATGTGTTTAGCAGGGTTTGTAGGTCCTCATTTAGCCTTGATGACCGCTTCACACCACTTTTGCGTCCTCTCATGATTCCAATGCTGTCCTCAGACCACTTACAGTGGTTGGATTTTTCTTCTCCACACATTTCCCAACATGGTTCCATAATTTGAAGGGGGATTTCACAGAAGCCATTCAGAGTGGTTTGATGTGAAACGCCCCATTCTAGAGAAACTGAGTTAGAATGGTTCACAGTGGTGGTGATAGGAACCTCTGAAGCTTTGAAGTCCTCTAAAAGCTACCTCACAGAAAGCTATTGCATAAAATGGTTCTGAATATGTTGCCTGATGCCTGTGACTTTGTGTAGTAATAGTTTTAAAATTAGGTTTTCGCATAAAACATATTTTTGAAATCTAAAAATGGATGGTAAGTAAAATGCCCTGATTTGCACTGTAGACATGGTGACCCCTGGTTGCCATCATCACCACTGTCAAGAAAATTTTCTACAATGCACCATTTCACATTAAACCACCCTGAATGACTCTGTATACATCTTAAATGTTGGCCTATGCAGAAAATGTAAAAAAATGTAATAATTCTGAAAATCTGAGTTGTGAAAAAAGCTGTCAGGTGATTGCAAAGATGTTTTTTGATTTATTTATGGCCAATAATGTCAGTGTGTTTGGTAGCCACTACGACTGATATTACCAACTAGTAATGCTGGATGTACACTGCTGAGCCAATGTACCAGAAGCAGAAGTCCCCTATGATATTTCAGGATGAGTTGAGGAGGAGGTCACAGACAAAACAGGCTCAGAACCACCAGTTTAGAAAACTAACATGCTTAGATGGGAATACAAAGAGATGTCTCTGAATCTGTATTTTGGAAAAGTCAGTGGCGAGTTAACCCACCTATTATACAATGTGACTAATCATGAAACTACTGGATACCTCTTCAAAATGTATTGCCGTGTCATCACCTGGATTTCCTCCTTCTCTACCCAGTCCCTCATTTACTGACCAGTATGGCATTCTGTACTGACATATGGCTAAATCAGTGCGGTGTTTCGTGGATATGCGCATTAGAGACATTCTTTTTAACAGATACTATATTAAAATTGCATGTGTGTTCTGACCTTTGCTGCAGCCCAGGTGATTGGCAGGGTCCATGTGGCTAGCCCCTTCCACACACGAGTCGCACTTGTCACCCGTCACAAACAGCTTGCACAGGCACTGGCCCGTCTCGGCCAGGCAGGAGCCATTGAAACCGCCCACTGGATCGCAGCCGCAGTGCTCGCACCTAGACACAAGGAAGATCTCATACAGACACCCGAGCGATCACCTCGCCTACACACCCAGCATCACTCCGTTTGACATTGTCGACGTCTGCGGAGGACATGAAATCGGGTAATTAACCAAAAGTAACAAGTCCAGATTTATTTACACACTGGAAAAGCTGCGAATTCACAGGCAGTCGCTGGCAGCGGCCTGGATGAGCAGGATCACACATCGGCTGACAAGCTGTGTGTGTGTGCGGAGACACACACCGCCACTAAATGGAGCCATTCACAGATGCCCACAGACAGTTAGGAGGAGGGGTGTGGAAGGGGTGTGACCCCGGCGGGGCCGGCAGCGGGTGACGTTGGGGCCATGCGCCTGACACCCTCACACGCAGCTGAGAAAAGCCCGAGACTCTTAATGAGCCGCAAATTTGTCCTGTCATCTGGGGGTGGCATTTTGGGGGCCAAGCAACCGTATCCCGATGTGGTTCGACCTTGACTCTTCACAAGGAGACACGCAACTTCTCCATGATTTAGTAAAACTGGCCATAAGACATAAATACAGAGCAGTGAACATGTAAATACTGTTTGCTGATGCTGTACATAACACTGGGCACTGCTATTTAGGTGGTGCATTCTTCATTTATCTGCCAAAAATCTTCAATTTATTAATTTAGTTCATGCAAACCACAGCAAAACACCAGTATTCCCACATGTAAACATAACTGAACTTTTAAACACCACATCTGTTGGACCAAACATAACTTGTTCTAGAAAAGCAGATGCTGTAGAAACATGTAAGCAGACATCTTGCCTGTAAATAAATGAATAAATAAACCTGCCCTCAGACCACAGCATCAGACAGCTTCAGGCCAAATGGCTTCAGAGGAGAAGGCATCAGGCTAAGCAGCCTGATTTAGAGGACATTCGTTTACAATTCTGTGGCCAAACTAAAAAAATTACAACCATAGCTTTTTTCAAACAGCACTTTATTTTGTTGTTTTATTTCACAAAAATTAAGCTTCAACTTACAAGCTCCATGTTTGCTTACCATCCCTTTCAATGGGGATGAATAAGTGTTGTTGTTATATTAGTATTACTTTATTATAATTAGGCATACACAGTCGGCAGAGACCCGGTTATTTTCTACGCAGTTACCTGAATAAGACAACTCTGTTACCGGCACAGGGCTACTGATATCTAGTGGTTCTAAATAACGTGACCCTAAAGTGCATCAACACAGGCCTGGAGCAGCTGTCGAAAATGGATTTGGCCTGCCAAAAGTTTGCTGGGGAAGAAGTCTACACATGCCTGAATGGCGACTAGAATAAACAGGTAAATCACATTCCGCAGTTTGTGAGCAGAAATGGATATCGCCCTCTCCTCTGAAAAATAAAACCGCGTTTTTCCCTCCAAGGTTAAACGATTAACCACGCGCCACGTTCTGTGTAGCCAGGCTTATGTCATCTGCTGTGATGGGAAATATTCCATAACCATATTGTGGCCTTTTAACTACCCCCCATTAGACGGACCGCATTGGACAGAGCAATATAATATCAACAAAATAAGATGCATAGCTTTATTGATTTCGGGGGAGTTGGGGTAAATGAGTTTGTAATATTTATATAAAGAAATCTTTATTGTGTGGAATCTCCTGATGCTGTTCAAGCTTCCCCTGTAATCGCTTTAAATAGTTCATTTTTCATCCTTACTAGCAAATGAGCGCAGGCCGAACGGAGTGTGTGCACGGCGATCCGTCATGACACGTATGGATTAACAATTTGTGATGTCCGGTAGGCCTTTTTGTTGATGCACTGGAAAAACACACATTCCCGCCACTCGAAACTCGCTAGCCGACAATTAATATTCCGTCTACCTGCTGCGCCTCCAAACATCCTGGTTTTTACTTTGGAAAGTGTTTAAAAGGTAAATGATGGTTAATGTGAGAGCTGCTTATGTTGGCTCCCACTGTTTTCTCTGCTTTGCTCAGCATGGCTAGCAGTTAAATATCTCCTTGGAGCTTTCTGGAAGGTCATTCAATGAGACTCCCGTCCAAACACGCTCATGAGCTCTCAAGTCTCAAAAACCCAAGAACAGCAAAAAAATAAAAAAGATGCAGAATATAAGCCACAACATGAAAAATTATTTTCTAGTCCACTGGCTCCTGAGAATGCCAAGGTTTGCGTCTTTATCATAGGCCATATGCTCCGGCTGGCGAGTTGCTGGGGTGTATATCGTTAAGGACGGCTAATGCATGATGTATTTACCGCCTAACTGATGTATCCGACAAATCAAGTGCACTGAGAGCATTAAAACGCATGCTCATTTAGAGGCAGGTTACTTTAATGGCTAATCTGACCTTTCGCGAACACAGCCTGGACCTGCGGGCCATCGAGCTGCTAACTGGCTCAAATCACCATAAAACTGTAAGTGGATAGGCATGGTCTTCTACATAAGCCTCATTCACCAGGTACCATGCAGGCAGAGGGGGAGGTCTGGGCAGTGCTGGTGTTTTCATCCATGTTTCAGATTCATATAAGCATGACTTCACACACTTTAAACACTAGGGTCCAGCCTATATGTTACACAGCTGATAATATCAGCTGATACTGCGGCCCTGTGGATTTAATAGTATTGGCAGAAAACCTGCAGATTAAGCAATGATATTTGGTGGCTTCTTTAACAAACAGACTGGTGTGAGAAAAAAAGTTCACTGTATAGAGACTGCTAAGCTGATGGCCACCTGCAGTTCTATTACAGTAATACAGCCTGAACTTGGAAATCTGAGCATAAAACACCATCAGGGTTAAAATAACAAACACAGTCCAATTAAAGCCTAAATAAAAAATAAGCCTGATAAAACAGTGTTTTCTCTGTTGTTAAATAGGCGAAGAAGGCCGCCTGGCTGAGTTCACATACCATCTAGCTTGGATGAGATACACACAAGTAACTGGGAGGCTAATATTTATTTTCATTCACTGTTTTTTTTTTTGTTTTTTTTGGTGAAAATACTATTCTCAATCTATTTTTAAACCTGAAGAAACACTAAACTCAGATACCAAGTCTGGTGCAGATCTGATCACTGATATAGTAGGTGTACAGGAGAGGCCAGCTGGTTTGTGCCAGAGGAGCAGCGTCTAGCTTTACTCTAGTCTTCTAGCATCTATTTAATTTTTTTCAAACCAAATGTTTTGGTACTTAAAGGAGCAGCAATATGTAAGATGTCACAACCTGTCAAATTCATACTCCAATAGTCCCTCCTGCTGTCTCTTCACTCGTCCCATGTTTTCTTACCAGTCTAGAAGAAATGTTGCAAGTTCAGCATTCATCTATCATCCCTCTACCTAACAAGAACCGTCTCCAGCAGTGAAAAGCAACAGCAATGTTAATTCTTGTTTTCCTTCTAATTATGTCACTTCTTTTCTTTGTTGCCAAACATGTTTTCATGTCAGGAGTGGGCGTACTACTTCATCCTCCCATGTTGGACTGAATGCTACAGTGATTTACTATCACCCCTTGAGTTACAAAGTGGAATTATGAGGCAGGTTGGGCTGGGGCTCGTTGGTTGGCATGCTAACAAATTGCTCCTTTAAAAAACACAAAGTTTTCTGCAAACCGAAATATAGGTTTGGGGTGGTTTTATTGCAACGTGCTGTTGTACCCCTAAAAAAGTGGTATTAAAAGACATGCAACTCAAACATCTTTGTCGTTTTATCAACGAGGAAACCAGTGAGAGCGCCCTCTTCTGAATGGAATTCTTCCAGCTCCACTATTCAAATGGGGACGTGTTTGGACTTTCTTACAGACTTGACATTCCAAATAGTATTTAGTTTGGTTTAAGGAACTATTAACACTATTCTTATACACTGCTACAGAAACGTGCAATTTTTTTTGGCCCAGTAGAAGCTGAAAAGCATTCAGTTACATATGAACTGTTCAAATATAAATGAACTGATTATAAGCGAACTAATCAATCACAATGAGCCTTCCTCAAAATAAATGTACAGAAAACATACATATTTGTATATTCACAAATATACAGTCATATGCAACATTTTAAACCCTGGTCAAATAATATGTTTTGTTGATATTATTATACTAAAATATAATAATAAAATAACACATCCTCTACAGAGAACACACTTAAATATGGCACTTTTCTGCAAATTACAGTGGATCATTTCTATTTATTTGCTGACTTCTACAGACATACATACCTAAAATATAAAATGTGTCATAACTTTTGCACCTATCATATTTTAGTTGTTTGCCCCTCAATATGTTAAATTTAACAAATAAACATTAAATTGCACATTTAAATGTACAGAAGTGTGTGCTCTGTATAGAATACGTGAACTTATTTTTACTCCAATCAACAATGCGTCGACCCGGGTACCCAAATCTTCGCACACGACTAATCTCATAGTCTAATCTCAGGCTGGTATTTTCGATTATCAGAATACAAACGCCATAGACTTTGTAGGAGTCGGTGGATTTCAGAGAGTGACCTACTAACCTGCCAGTGACTGGGTTAAAACCATAGTAGAGATCCTGGCATCGGTCACACCTGCGGCCAGCTAGTGATGAGTGAGAGCACTCACACTGGCCCGTGTCTGCAACACACACCTGCCCCACCGCTCCCACCGGGTGACAGTCACAGGCCTCACACTCACTGTGGCCTTCCTCAGAATGGAAATAACCTGTGACAATGGAATAAAAGGAAACAAAGGAATTAAAGGCTGACCACAGAGACGGCTTCAGTAGCATATTAAAGGGGAAGTTCAGTGAAGAAATGCTACCGTGGTCAACAACAAAAACAGGTGCCACTAGTCAGCATGACATCACATTAACTGGACACATCTCAAGTGTCTATGCTCCATTAGCATCGTATCCTTAACGAAAGTGTGCACATCCTTTTCCCCTTCCATGAGGAGAAGGGAAGAGTGGAATCTCAAGGACATCATTCAGACTGGGAGGGGCGCAGAGTTTGAGATGTTTCAATCACGGCCTCCCCCCCCACCCTCCTTGGGTGAAATACGAGCGAAGGGGGTCATGCGACGCAGAGCCGGGGAGGGGGAGGGACCCCGCCGAAACAGTCATCAGCCTTCCCAGATGGATCTCCCTCTCTCTCCCTGCGCTTTCAATTTTCTCCTGCCAGCACCACTCTCGGTGCACATGCTTTATGTGCCGGCCCGGACCGTGAGGCTCAGCGCCGAGCTGGGTACACCCCACACTATTTCATCAGGTGGTGTGGGCGGGGAGCGAGCGGCCGTACATCCTTGTCTGGTTACTGCGGTGGGGTTCCACATGTGCATGCGGTACTGTGGTACCTTGATGTTCTAGGCCTGCTGCTGGATGCTGGTGCTTATGTTGCTCTTTTCGAGCTCTATATAAATACCTCAGCTGACCCGTCCATGATAAACCCACAAATGTGCTGAAGCTTTACAGAACGCTGGCAAAACTCAGTCAACCAACTGAGAAATTATAGCGTACAACTCAATTTTTGTCAAAATATCCAAATATAGAGCATGTTCTTAATTTGAAAATATATTTATACTGCATGCACGTGAAACATCACACTGCTAGGATTGTTGTCGTTTTCAACTTGCCTAGATCCAAATAACTAGCGACTATCGAATAGTGTTATTGTTTTTGTTGTTTTATTACTGTTTACAATTATTATTACAAGTATTGTAAGTATTTATTATACCGATTACTTATTACTAGTAGTACTAGTGGTAGTATTGCATAAATGATGTTTATTTATTTAGCTTTTTAATAAAACATGACTGAAATTAAAAGTAATGCAAAAGCATCACTGATAAATAATTATTCTTAGTAATATTCATTCATAGCAAGCTGCATTAAAAGCTAAATAGGGGATCTTGCCCAAAAGGTTAACTAGCCAGACCACTCGTTTATAGCTAGCAATCCTGAGCAGAGGGAAACTTCCTTAGACTGCACTTTTAGTTAGGATCGATACTGTTAACTCAAACTGTGATGCTCATTATGCACGACAATTACTCGCCTGGTTCAGTGGATTTTTGCTAACATTCTGTAAAGTTCATTTACAACCCCATTTTCAAAAATGTTGGGACGCTGTGCAAAATGTAAATAAAAACAAAATGCAATGATGTGCAGATAATTTAAACCCTATATTTTATTGAAAATAGTACAAAGACAACATATCAAATGTTAAAACTGAAATTTTATTGTTTATTGAAAAATATTTGCCCATTTTGAATTTGATGCCAACAACACGTTCCAAAAAAAGTTGGGACGGGGAAACAAAAGGCTGGTAAAGTTGTGTAATGCTAAAAGAAACACCTGGTGGTTGTTTGGCAACAGGTCAGTAACATCACTGGGTATAAAAGAGCATCTCAGAGAGGCGGAGTCTTTCAGAAGTAAAGATGAGGAGGGGTTCACCACTCTGTGAAAGACTGCACCATCAAATAGTGCAACAATTCAAGAATAATGTTTCAACATAAAACAGCAAAGAATTTTTGCTTTTCATCATCTAAAGTACATAATATCATTAAAAGATTCAGAGAATCTGGAGAAATCTCTGTATGTAAGGGTCAAGGCTGAAAACCAGTATTTGCTGGCCGTGATCTTTGGGCCCTCAGACAGCACTGCATTAAAAACAGACATGATTCTGTAGTGGACTCAGAAACAGCTGGTATGCAGTGTGTTTTTTTTTTTATCTATCTTGAATACAGTCTCAAAAGATGAGGACGTTGGAAGGTTTCGTGCGACAAAGGGCGACACTGACTTTTCATCAGTCTTACAAACTGCTGAAGATGAGTGAGTGAGCAGTGAGCACTGAGAACTGGAACACTGTACTTGGCCTCAAAAAGCGCTTGGTTGGTTTTTACAGTAAACAGCGAGGGTTTCAGGATGGTTAATCTCCATTTTCAAAACAATGGAGCCAGCTGCTACAGCTGGCCACGGAGAGATTGACCGCCTTAGCTGCTGGCTGTACACCTTAGCCTCGGCAGTACGACCCACTCAACCATGCTGATGTGCAAACTTCCCACCCCTGGAGGTTCTGCTCATTCTTAATGGCAGAAGGTTTTCAAATGCTACTGGTGAAATTGGCTCTGTGAGGACGGACCTATTAGCCATGCTAACAATATACCATAGACGTCACTGACAGCCAAAACATATGCGACTCCTGAGGACAACATAGAGACAAAAACACAGAAAGTAGCTAACACAATGGCTTTGTGCTCTGGTAAACAATGGCAGCAATGAATGCACTGGCATGATCAACAACTCTTAAAGTAATGAGTATGCAAGCACACACACACACACACACACTCACAGACTCACACACACACACTCACACACACACACACACACACACACACACACAGTACAAAAAGAAATTCTTCATGTTTGTACTTGAGGATGAAAGCTAAAGGGTCCACAGTGCAACATGCAAATGGTTCATACTGGATTTCATTCCTTGTTGGCAATGTCAGCATTTTTGAGTGAGGTTTTAATTTTAGCAGCATCCCTCAATAGTGATCAGGGAAGCACACTATCGTGATAAATTATGGCACTATGTATTGTGAATCGCCAACAGATTCATGAGACGCAATTACCAGAGATGTTGAACAATTTAAATGTTAGCAAACATTTGTCTGCAGCTGCAGAACGCAGAAATATAATCATAACTGTCCCATAATCTTTGTTTTCTTTTTAATTTCTTTCACAGTGTTTTCTCTTAATGTGTAGTTTATGTCTTGCATCATCCTAAATATGTCGCCTCATTTAAATTTATGTAATTTCCAGTCTAAATGGCCGACAAATTATTAATTTTTCAGGAGATATTTCTGACCTCCACTGTTGTTTCAGATCTGAAAAAATCCACAGGTGTTTCTGTCTCACAAAAACAATAATAAAGACAACAAATGAATTCTTTTATATTATAATTAACTGTTTGAGGCCTCCATTTTATGTTTTTTTTAACATATCACTGCTGTCGGAAGAAAACCTCGTATCTCCAAAATGGTAACTTTACAGGAGAAGGAAAAAACATCTTTACTTTTAATGTAAGTCAATGGAACCAGACTTTTTTCAGAGTAGTTTCGGGTCGTTTCTTTGGGTCCATTCATCATTAAATTTACACACAATGTAAAGAGCAACAGGCATTTCAAATTATGTCAAAAATGGGAAAACAACAAAAATGGAGATACAACGTTTTCTTCTGACATCAGCGATATGTTTTCTGCTCAGAACATCCTGCAGCAGCATTTTTGTGCTGTTTTACCAGATATGATTGCTAAACAGATAAAGCCATGCTGCAGGCTTCCACACACAGAATGCCTTCTATTGTGAAAAATAAATGAGGTTTTAAATGATTTTAATGTTGTGGTTACAATGAAGTTAATCAAAACAACTTTTCTGAAAACGAGCATATAATCCAATATAATCAAGCACTGACTAGCCAAACCAACTACAGTTAACATTGGGCTTCCTTGAGGAGAGGTGTGGAAATGGTTAAATGAGCACACTGACATTCGTAAAAACCACCACCTATTGTATTAATTATAACAGTATTTATTCTAATATTCACGTTTCTAAGAAATGAAAAGAAGTTTTTGTCCAGATAAATAATTTTCTCATTTTTACAGGTGTCTAAAACATTTGCACAGAACTGTTTATTACTGTTTATTATGCTTTCCTGAACAAATTGTAGGTGAAAGCCTAAAAAAAACAGTGTGCTGTCAAATTAACCTCTTATGCTTGTGGGTATATTTCAGTTTTTCCATCTGAATTTACAAATTATTCAGTAACTGCATGAAATAAATGTAAATTTGGGTTTTTTTGTAGACGTTCCCCTCAAATTAACAGAAAATGTGTTATGATCATAAAACATATTGCTATATGCTTACAATTTACTGCTGAAAGCCAAAAATCTTAGACGCTCTTTGTATTTTTTTAATAAAAATAATTTTTACAGAGCAGATCACTGAAGAGACGCCATCTGAGATCCAGTTTGTAGCTCAGATTTGTGGAAAAACGGGTCGACTTTCAGTAGAAAAAACAATTGTGAGTTCAGCTTCTTTTATTATAAAGTTTTAAAATGACATCACCATCTATTTGACTGGAAAGAAGACAATTACAGCTCTCATACGACCCCCACCTTTAGAATGTAGCTTATGAAATATGAAAGTTATGAAGAATATGACAAAGTGCGTTTCGGAACAAGCGGTTGTTCCAAGGAGTTAAAGAGGTTAAAACTGCATCAAATTAAGGAGCTGACTGGTTAGCTCATTATGCCACTGTCTTATTTTTTTAACAACTCATTTGATTTTAATTTCTGCACTATATTACGGTGAATAAAAATAGAAATCACTGGAATACTTACTGTACTTATATACTGTACGTACATAATTTTTAAATTGGTCACTGCTGTTTTGTTTTAACTTGTTCACAAACTCCATGAAAAACTAATCATGATACGTATTGTGCATCATGAAGACGTGTTTATATTTTTCCCACATTGCTCACCTTGTGGATTCAGACGGAACAGAACCTCTTACCTGGCTTACAGGTGCCACAGTCTCGTCCGTAACGGGTGGGCAGGCACACACACTGCCCGCTGTCAGGGTCACACACAGTTCCAGCAACAGTGCCCAGGTCACAGCTGCACGGCTGGCACCCATGCGTAGAATTAGCGGAGGCTAGCCAGTACATATGAGGGGAACAGCGATTACAGCGACGCCCCTCTGTGCCGTTTTTGCACCGACACTGGCCCGTCAGCTTATCACACGTGAACGACTCCTCCAGCGTACCTCTGGGCTCACATCGGCACGGCAAGCAGCCCAGGGAGCCGTCTCCACCCAGGCTATGGTAGCCGTCCCGGCATGAGTCGCAGCGCCGGCCCTCCACTTCCGGCCTGCACACGCACTGACCCGTCAAAGGGTCACAGGTGGAGCCTGGAACAGAGCCGGCAGGGCTACAGTCGCAGGGAAGGCAGAGTCCACCGGCCTTCAGGCCATAGGTGCCCGGGGCACAAGTGTCGCAGAAGAGGCCCTGAATGCCGTCCCTGCACTCACACTGACCAGTGAAGGGGTTGCAGAACTGGTGGAGTGAGCCGTCTGGGTTGCAGCCGCAGGGTTCGCAGCCATCTGGGTTTGTGGTACTGAGGAACTTGAAACCGTAGTTGCAGCGGTCACAAGAAAGGCCTGCAAACAGAAGAGGAGGAGTTACTTTAAAGATCAGTGATACAGTTTGGTCTACTAGGGTGGCTCCATGTCCTGGTCCTGAGGAGTAATCCTGGACTGTGCACGTCTACATATTTGCTAACATACAGCACTGTGCAGAAGTCAGACACCACTTTAAATTGATTTAATTTCCAGTCAAAATGGCCTTTAAGTACAAGTTATTCACTTTTCATCCATTCTTGTTTCAGATCTGAAAAAACCCGCAGGTGTTTCACAAAAAGAATAATAAAGGCAAATGGTGGACAAATGAATTTTTTATATTATAATTAACTGTGGAGGCCTTCATTTTATGTTTTATTTTAGTATGTCGCTGTTGTCGGAAGCAAACCTTGCATAACCAAAATGGTAACTTTACAGGAAAAAGAAAAAACCTACTTTACTTATAATGTAAGTCAATGGAACCAGACTTTTTCCACTCATTTCCTCCTGTTTCTTTTGGTCCATTCATCATGAAATTTACACACAATGTAAAGAGAAACAGGCGTTTTCAAATTATGTCAAAAACTGAAAAACAACAAAAATGGTGATATAAGGTTTTCTTCCGACAGCAGTGATATGTTTTCTGCTATTTTCATAATGCAGAAAAATAAATATTTGTACTTACTGGCCATTTTCACTTAAAAAGAAATTAATAAAAGGTGGTCACTGATTTTTGCAGCACTGCACGTGCACCAACATTATGATTATTAGCTGTATTATTAGCCACTAAAAAAAGTGTCCAGGAACGTTATCTTGTTCTGGAAAAGTCAGAAATTTCAGCATTTTTCCTCTTTTTTGTTATATTTAAAACTCTAGATTAAAACCAGATAGTTTCCATTCTAAAATTTGATTGGCTGAGCCACATTCAAAGCCATTGTTAAATATCTGAAATACACAAGTATGACTGCACACATCCTCCACTGAAGTGGCTAGATTCACAAAGGTGTCCTAAAATTGAATGTGCTTTTTTTCTTAATTTCACACTTTAGAAAACTTGTATTCTTGTAAAACTTGTGTATTCTTGAAAAAATTGTATCTATAAACTTCTTAGAGGTTGTCTTAAGATTCTTTGGAGGTTGGCCGTCGGACGCCCTCAGGCCATCGGTGAGCGTCGTTGTCAACTGTCGTTCGTAGTCAGTGCAGAGTGTGCAGCATCACTGGCTATAGTCAGTTCCAGTCAGCACTTTTTTGGCTGACTGACCATGTTGAATCAGTGCTGGTGGTCGACTGGGAGAGACAGCAAACAAGGAGCGAAATGAAGGCAAGAAAGATACAAACGCTATTTTTCAACACTAGTGAGAGCAGCAAAGCTTCAGCACTAGGAATGGGTATTCTAACTATTTCTGCTTTTCAGACGTAAATATTTAATGACAAATAACGTTTTATTTTTAGTGATTCTCACTAATTTCATGATATTTTTTACTTTTTGTTATATAACTATGAACATGCATCAGGCTAAAGGTGGTTTACTTTCTTTTTTCCACTCTAGATTTAGCTTAAACACTGACATCTAAAGCATTTAATGCATTCAAACGATACAGTCTTTACTATTTTGTATGCTGCACCTTTAGTGTCAGACTATCGCTAACTCCTGCTATAGAGAGACGTTCCCTTTCGCGCAGGTGCATTAAGTACGAGTGTGTCGACCGTCAGCTGTAGTCCTTGTGGTCTGTGCAAATTTTCACTGGAGATGACAGACAGCCGAGACCTGACAGAAGCCGATCATCCGTCATAGTTCGACTTGCTGTGACCCGCGTCTTAGGAAAGCTTTGTGGATCCAGCCTCAGCACCAAGAACCGCTTCTCTATTACATCTGTTTTTCACCTCGCAGTGACACACTGTTATCTAAAAAAGCTAAAAGTCTATCATCTTTTACAACTCAAAACTATAAATTAGTCAAAGCTTTCTACCTACTTTGTGTGCTCATGACCCAAAACCACAAAAATAGATGGCAAAATAAACAAATAAAAAAAGTGAACTACTGCATGTGGAATAAAAAAAAAACGTACACAGGGAAATGACATCATTAAGTGAGGCCCTTACCCAATGATGAATGACCCACCTCAGGCATAACACTTAATTTCACTAAAGGAAAAATAAATAAATTAAAATGGCCCAAGAAAGGCGGCGGAGAAAAAAAGGAAAGGTAAAAATAACTGTGTGGCCGAAAAAGAATTACTGCTCATTTGGAACTCCGGAAGAAAAAAAAAAAGTGGTCTATGTGGATTCAAATCATATCAAGTTTTTAAAATATGCGCAGGACTTATTTGAATATGCCATACATATTCCTGACAGGTAATCTATTCCTAATGTTGCTGAGCAGAGCCTAAGGGCATTGCGTGAGTAGAGCGCCTGTATAAGTGCTGGGGACTCCACACTCAGTCGCTGCTTTCAGTTCCTCTGCTGAGGTCCACTTTAATGAATTTAGATATTAATATATTGTTCCCTGCCCACAGTTAAACCTCGTTACGACATTATGTTAAGTGCGCAATGTGACACAGATGAATACCCCGATAACAATAAAGCTGAATCGCTCCAATTTGTTATTGTATTCTTAGTCTTGGGATATTAGGAGAGCGGCTGTCGAGCCCAGTAGGAGCCGGATTTTGAGCAGCAATGAGCAAACAAAGAAGAATTTAGTGCATTTATAAATATAAGCATATCACCACTATCATAATAAAACTTTATATCTCAGAAACAGTAACTTTATAGAGAAATTAGGTTCATAGCTTTATACGTATGTTATTGTAACAGGATTTTATTAGTAGTAATTAGTAATTCTGGGCCATTTCTATTGGTGCATTCATTCTGAAGTGTAATGTAATGTAATACATGCAATGTAAAGGGTACCGCATTTCCAACCAGTGTAATTAAAAAAAAAAAAACTATATACAACATTTTATCATATAATACGATATATTACATTAGTTCATATTTTGCACATTCAAAAACAAGAACAGACCCAAACAGGAACCAATGAAACTCATTTTTCACCTGCTTAACAAACAGCTGGAACTGTCATAATAACCGTTATGAAGATTTAATTTAAATTTCTGCATATAAGTCTATAACAGCTAATTTAGCAAAGCTTTGTCAGCTTAGTAAACTCTTTACAAAGTAATACATTTCTTTACAAAGATTATTTTTACAAAAAATAACATTCTAGTTTATTAGTTTAGTTTAGTTTCTAGTTTACTGGTGATGCAATAGTGCTTGGTGACTTCATCCTCACTTGGAAGAGTAAAGAATTTGCTAAATTGTGATTGGCTTCAGCTGCATATGTTACCTAAGAGAGGTGAAGGTGAGCACCCTTAAATACACTATATGGCCAAAAGTATGTGGACACCTACCCATTGCACTTATGCAAGCTTTTAGACATTCCGTTCCAAAGTCACGAGTGTTAACATGAAGTTGCCCCTCTTTGCAGCTCCTCCACTTCCACTCCTCTGGGAAGGCTATTCTGAGTGTGTGAAATTCTGTGTCCATTCAGTCAAAAGAGCATTTGTGATGTCAGGCACTGATGTTGTACGAGAAGACACCAAACTCATCAAACCATGTCTTTATGGAGCAGAAATCAGCAGTGCTGGAACAGGATGGGACCTCCTTAAAGTGCTGCCACAAAGTTAGAAGTGTACAATAGTCTAAAACATCTTTGTGAGCTGTAGCATTAACATCACCCTTCACTGGGACTAAAGGGCCCAAACCCTGAAAAACAGCCCAGCCCATCATCCCTCCTCCACCACACTGTACTGTTGGCACTATGCATTCCGGTGGGTGGTGTTTTCCTGGCATCCACAAAACATAGATTCATCAGTCAGACTACAGATGGTTATGCATCACTCCAGAGAACACGTTTCCACTGCTCCAGAGTCCAGTGGCGGCACTTTACACCACTCCAGCCGACGCTTGGCATTGTGTATAGTGATCTTAGACTTATGTGCAGCTGCTTGGCCATAGAAACCCGTTTCATAAAGCTCCTAATGCATAGTTCTTGCACTGAGGTTGCTTCCAGAGGCGGTTTGGAACTTCATAGTGAGTGATGGTGGATTTTTATGCGCTACGTGCTTCAGCACTCTGTGACCCGGCTCTGTGCTCTACTGCTTCATGGCTGAGCTGTTGTTGCTCCTAGACAGTTCCATTTCACAATAAAATCAGCAAGGCTGATTTGTGTGGGTGTGGCTGAAAAATCTGAACTCAATAATTAGGGGTGTCCACATACTCATGGCCAAACAATGTACCAAAACGCCCTGCTGGTATCATAAGCCAAAAGACTGGACCCATAGTGGACTGACGGCCAATGGAAAATGCACAGTTCCAGTTTCCTGGTGCCAAAGGTTTCAGTACTTTGTGCCGTAGAAAAACACCCACTGTTTACAGTGGTTCATAGCACTGTGCTCTAAATGTACCATAATGCTAGGTGAAAAACTGGTGTGTATGTTGTTAGCTAACTCATAACTGGTTCTGTGTGTGTGATTGAATACGTGCCTGCTCGGTTGTGTATGCATGAAATGGGACGTGTTGCTATGCAGCCAGGCGGTGCTCACTCTATCAGTAATGCTCCTGGACGTAATATTCTCATGCATCAACATTTCAAAGTGTATTGTGTACACAGAGTACTTGGGCCACTTGATAAATTTTGCCCTTATGAAGCCGCTGCTGGCCTCAAACGCGGCGGAGGTAATAAATTGCCATAATCAAATCTAATTTCTGAGAAATACCTGTGGGAGCGACAAACAAAGAAGCAGGTCTTGTAAGCAGGCATGAAAAATAACGGGGACGGGGCGGTTTATTATAATCAACTTGGCATTGAATTACAAAATTAAAATTAGGCAGCCCTTGATATCCTGGCTTAGCAATGTGCGCGATCTTCTAAGTAACGTTCGTTTGCATTTCATAAGAAATGCTTCAAAGGCACGGAGAAAGGGAGGGGGACAGAAGAGATTTATCACAAAGGACCTGAGATGGTTGAAAAAGAGAGGGGAAAAAATCCATTTGGCTACAGCTTGCAGTAAATTTGACGAGAAAAAAAAAAAACACACCCAACTAGCCAAGGGTGCGTTCAGTGTGTACAGTGCCCAAACAATTTAATCATGGCATCAACATACAGGCTATGGCAAATAGAGGGATGGTGTTTAAAGTACTTGAACACACTGTGTTTCTAAACTATAAACTTATTGAATATATATAATCAGCATTTCTTTGGGGGCTCGTAAAGAAGGAAATGTATTTTGTTGCTGAGGTCCACTTTTGTACGTATATGGAGAGTTGTGTAAGAGGGCCCTGTAAGGAGGGAACAGTCTGGTCTGAGTCAGACATCATACGTGTTTGGGTTTTAAAGGTTACCAAAAAAGGTGTAAGGTTTGGACATGATGGGGACTAAAATGGTATGGAATTGTGTAAATGAGGTGGGGAGATTTAACTGAAATTTCCACATTCAAGTCTATAACAGCTAATTTACCAAAGCTTTGTCAGCTTAGTAAACTCTTTACAAACTACTAAATTTCTTCACAAATTAAAAATAAATGATTGACACATCAACATAACATTCTAGTTTATTAGTTTAGTTTAGTTTCTAGTTTATTGGTGATGCAATAGTGCTTGGTGACTTTATCCTCACTTGGAAGAGTAAAGAATTTGCTAAACTGTCATTGGCTTCGGACGCATATGTTACTGAAGACAAAGTTGAGCACCCTTAGTACACTATATGGCCAAAAGTATGTGGACACCTAGACATCGGGAACCATCTTGCCATTTGATGCTCAATTAAGCGAAGGCCTTTTCCTTCCTTCCACAGGAACTCAGCGTCTGAAGTCTCTTTCATTCCTTTTTATCCTTTTTCATTTTTATAGAAATTCTTTGATTCTTTTAATTAAAGACGTTAGATTATAGACACTTATTAGGGCAAATAATATTAGAGTTACTTATAAATGTCCAGACCCTGGGCAGAAGAGAGAGCTCTTGGCTGCGACAATTGTGTGAATATTTAATGAAAAAATGGACCAATAGAAATGGGAAAAACTTCTTCCATTAACAATGGAAAGTTACCTTGAAAGTTACCAGGTTTTGTCCGAACAACCGAGAGAGAGAGAGAGAGAGAGAGAGAGAGAAAGAGAGAGAGAGAGAGAGAGACAGAGAGAGGGAAGGAAGAGGAAGGAAGAGCCAAAGAGAGAAGAAACGGTAGGGTATGGAGGAAGGGAAAGAGAGAGAAGGCAGAAAGAGAGAGAAGAGAGAAAGGAGAGTGTGCAAGAAGGAGGAGAGAGAAGGATGAGGGAGAAAGAGGGAGGAGGAGGAGGAGGAAAAGGAGAGAGAGAGGGAGAGAGAGAGAGAGAGAGAGAGAGAGAGAGAGAGAGAGAGACAGTGGGTGCAATGCTGTTTGATACCTACCGATTACGTTGGCCTTGCACTGGCATTGACCTGAGTCCTGGTGACAGGTAATATCTGGTCGTGCCGTCCCGGCGGCATTGCAGTTACAGGCTCGGCAGCCGTCAGCGAGCGCAGACTGCAGCCCGTAGAATCCATGCTGGCACTGATTGCACTGTCGGCCAGACACACGTCGCTTGCACTTACACTGGCCCCCCAGCTGTGGAGGAAGAAGACAGCAGCACGTGACGGTGCTCCAATTAGGACACTCCGGCAGCACAGTGCAAGTGTGCGTGTGTCACGGATGGACACCTCACCCCCCCTTGCTGACCCCCACTGGGATGCTTTTTATCTCCATTACTGGTGTAAGAAAAAGGAAGGACTTGGGGGGGCTCTAGTGTGTGGTCAGCTAGTTTAGCACTGTGGTTATCTCCCACAACTGAGGCTCTTCTGTTTGGATGGCTGAAATTACTAGCTATCAAAGAGGTCAGTGAGAAATAAGCTGCGAGTGCTGATGCTGATGGGGCTGAACGTTTCAGCTGTGACTGAAGTGCGATGATGCAGCCAACAGGGCTAGACTGGCAAGCTCTGCCAAATCCGCCAAAGGAGGAGAAGTCAGTATTCATGACGAACTCACGCGCAGTTGTTGCATTACATTTCTAAAGCTGTATACTAGAATTATTGCATGAATTATTACTCGCACATGATAAAAAATGTATTAATGTGTTTTAGGTATTTAAATTTATGTAAATAAACTTACATAACGGTAACATTTGAAAATTTGGTAAACTGTTGCCATATGGCAACAATGCACGATCATACCATGGCACCATAAATTCTAAAAAAAAAAAGCACCATAAAATGTAATTTTTCTCTAAAAACATCCTTTTATTGAAAACAAGACCAAATAAATCCAACTTATGCTTGGTGAAAAGTACTACCCAATATTTACAAATACTGGAAATTAATACAATTACAATTGGTATTTGGAACGTATGGTAAAAACAACATCATAATAAGAATTCCTGGTCATGTGATGTCAAAGTATTTGTCCTTTCAAAGTAAAAGACCCTTTTTCCACAATTAAATGGGAAAACACAGATTTTATGTTACTGCTTTTTTAGTAAAACTGAGATAAAGTAATTGCTGCCATATGGAGGGTTAAGGAGCTAAGTTTCAGATGATTAATATCACTGGCTGATACAATTTAATCCGGTCAACAAAAGTCTCCAGCAGTTTAAAAAGACTGACTTTACTGACTAAAATGAGAATCAGGTCTTAAATGTTTTTTTTTTCTTTACCAGCAGAACCTCAAACCTCATTTATAATATATATGAAAACTGCAACGTTGGGGGGGCTTCAGGGAATTCTTAGTGGAATGGAAATCGACTAATATTTTAAATACAATAAAATATTTTTCCCCCGCAGCTCTGTTGTCAGATTAGTTAGGATACTGCGGTTGCTGAAATATTGTAACGCTGTGTTGAGCTGCTAGTGAGCAAAAACAAAACTGACACTTATCCACAAAAACGGCCTTGCCGAGATAAAACTAACAGCAGAGCTGCAACTTCCTTGATATCAAAAATCTGTGCGCAACAGCCATAATATAAAACACAACATAAACATCTTTAAAATGGGTGATTTTCTTGCTCACCTACAGAGATGGAAATTCAGTTCACTTTGGGAAATCATACATATTTAAGCTGAAATATATTCCATCAACACCACTGAAAAAAAGGATGCAGAGTTGAACTGAGGCACCTCCAAAACAGGTGGAAACTGCGTTAATTTTACAGCTGTGATCAAAAAGGCTGAAAAGAAACTTCGGTGACGTTTCAAATTTACACCATTGTCCAAACGTGTTCAAACCGGCATCGACAAGTCTGAGCTTTGTTAAAATGGGCTTGCTAAAGTAGGAAAAACACAAAAGGACCAGAAACAGGAAACACTGGAATCATGTAAGCATGCTAATTAGCCCTCACTAGCATGCATTCTGTGTGTACTCATTTTGGCCACATCAGTGTTTTCAGACATTCCTTTAAGCGCCAGTGAAAGTGACAGCAGATATGAAATTCTTGAGCTGCTACATTATATTATACAATTAATTAATTAACAGAAAAGGAAATCTTGTTTTATCTTACTCATTATCAGTATGCCAAGCACGAGCGAGTCTTCCGGTACTGTGCGACAAACCGACAGCTCCAAAGCCTACCCAGCGCTCCACAGCAACGGCACAGTCCGACAAATGAAGCCATCCGAGAGATTAAGGAAATAATCATTCCCGGAATTTAAATAAGGCAACAATCTCAACACGGGTCTGACCTGGCCATTGATTTCGAATTTGTCATCCAGTATATCTATTGACAAGGATGGCCCCAGCCCTCTGAAAAGGCTCTGGTGATGCTTGGGTAGAGGGGAGCAGAGGGGGGATTCTCCAGAGAGAGAGGGGCCTCCTAATGACACTTTTACATACTCACTGCAATCCCTTACCGATCACAACACTGATAAACGCCGGTGTGAATACTAAAGTCTTCGGCCGATACGTCGATACAGGCGTCTCCAGCATGAAATGGGCCAATAGCTTTAAATGAATGTGGAATTTTCCAGTCTGTCACTAAGCAAAGGAACAAAGGCCTCTGCTGTTTCTTGATGAGATCTGTGCTACAGTTTAACACGCTGATATAAAAATTCAGCCAATGCTTCAAACGAAGGAGCATGAAAATGTCTGCAGATAGGAGAGGAATGGAACCAGGTTTGTGTGACTTATATACCGATAAGCCAAAACATCACGACCTCATACCTTCTTATATCACTTATACAACAGAAACTGCAAAGTTAGCAGCTTGTTGAAGCTGAGCTGTGCCTCGCCTTTGCGGACAGTGAAAGCAGCCTGGGCCAGGTTGGACAATCTGGGAAATGGTCAATCTTGGAGTGCTGGCATATTAGATGTAATGTATCTCTGAAGAACGTAAATTTGAATGTTAAAATAACAACCAGAAACAGTACGTTTTCTAACAGGCATCATGAAACGTGTATTCAATACAGTTTGTCTACATGGTTGTCAGAAGACAATAAGGACTAAGGTCTGTAGACATCAAGCCCCAGGATATCATCTGGCTCTGAACACTTCAGCCGCCTCACACCTGTGAGATTATCACAGCCTGGGTCATTGTGATGCACCAGTGGCGTCGCCACGATCCAAACCTACTTTATAAGGACATGTGAAGACTACAGATTAAAAATAAATAAATAAAAATAATCAACAGAAACCAACAAAATTGCCAAGAACCTCTGAGATGTTCCACCTGCAAAACTTTTCCTATTTCTGTTGTTTACATGAGTTTGTGGCAGTTGACAACTGATCAGCCAGTAAAGTGCAGTATAACAAAAACTACCGAAGGCGGATTAACTGACCACGTACAATTTTATTCAACTGATATTGGCACTACAATGTTTCTGTCATTTAAATATAGAAATTACTCCAGCAAACATTTTATGAGTTTCTGCTGTTTGAATTTAAGAAGTTTGACAATTGAGACCTGACAGTCACATAAGACAACAATATCAGTCAGTAAAGCACTGTTTAACTAAGCATTGGAGTCTGTTTATTTTTTGACCATATTAAATTATATTGGCTGATATCGTTTCTGATGAGTTATCGCAACTTTTAGCCCCTTTAAATCGATATTGGAAATATAATTTTCATATCAGTCAGGACACAGTGTGTTCATGCATGCACAGTCGTATGTAAAAACGTCAACATAACCAGTCAAATTACATGCTTTGTTGATTTTCTAAGTGAAAATAAGTTAACGCATCTTCTACAGAGAACAATACATTCACTAAATTTAACATATCGGTAAAAATAAAACAATATTGTGCATTACAATGTGCAGCAGTGTGTTCCCTGTGGAGGATGTGTGACTTATATTCACTTAGAAAATCAACAAAACAAGTTATTTGACCAGGGGCGCCTAAACTTTTGCATACAACTATACATCACACTTACCTGATCACACTCCAGGCTGCCGTTGATCGTCCCGGCACTGCTGCACTCACACGGTTTGCACACGTCCTCGGCCCACAGCGACGTGCCGACTTCTCTGTAGAACAGACTCCTGCAGCGCTCACAGTTCCGTCCTTTCCATCAAACATGTGTTGTGTTAGGGGATCATCCACGGGATGTGGGGAAGACAAGGACAGGATCAATCACACAGGACCTTGATTTCAAATTAACACACCGCTGTCTCGAGAGAGGCAAGGTGTCCATTTTAATGTCCCCTTTGGTCCCTAACTGCCACTGTGTCTGATGCCCAACATATGAAACAGTGAACCAGTTAGCATGGCCTGATTTACTTCATTAAACCTCCATCTGTTTTCCCTCTGATCTAATATTTAGACTTTTCAGCTCTCTTATCCACCACGCTGTTGTGAAGGATTCCTACCAAGACGTGTGAAAGCCAAGAAGCCAAGTTTAATTATGAGTGACCGTTTTAAGTCTTGGGATATGAAAAAAACTGTTCCTGCTAATATGTGTGTGTGATGTTGTTATGGTTTTGTTTTTCACCACAGTAGCTTATTGGAGTATGTAGAAAGATGAGGCTATAACCGCGTATCATGTGGGACACAATATTTGGAAAATGTACTGCTTGTCAACTTGCTATAGTCTTTATGTAATCAGCACAGCTCAACACAGTAACTTCCCCACTAAACCCCTAAAAACCTATACAACATCTGTGATTGGTCAGGATGTTCACAGCACAAAAACATTCAGTGATTGATTATGGGCAGTTTTCATATTTTACAGCTCTGTGATATCAGTTTTGCGAAGTCTCTGGTTGCGATAGTAAAGGAACAATTTATTGCGTAGCTGTAATATGTGTTATGGCACTGTTACCTGTTGTGTTATGAGTGCAGTTGTCACAAACTCCCCCTCCGCCGCGGAAGTGATCGAGGGGGTAAGGATCCACGCTGGCGTTGTAGTGGCAGGACGAGGCGTGGCCATAGCACTGGCATGGGCGGCAGTTGTACGCTTGCACCTGATCACCTGCTCGGAACGGCTTGTCGTTGAAGAGCGGAGCGCAACGTTCACACTGTATGGAGAGGAAGAGCCAGATCAGTCTATACATACAGCAAACAACCAATAATCCACAGAGTATTTTGTTGTTAAACAAAAGGCTTTGCTGAACAGTAACAAACCATGCATTTCCTTTCCAGTATAGTCAGGATTTTTACATGAGGGGGTGAGGTCATGTAATTTTACCAACTTTCATCCAGAAACTGTTTTTGTAATGAAATTTCTGCATGTAACCCTTTCAGACCCAAATTATGCTCCAGGACACAATCATGATGATTTGCTCTTTTCTCATTCTAAAGCTCTTTACCATAAAGGTTAATAACTGTTTAGAATTACTGTTTACTATCCATTTGTACTGCACATTCTAATGTATTCTAATAGTTCTCAAGAGCAGCAACATTCCAGTATTAACAGATACTGATTTAAAGAGCTATTGCAGGAAAACCTGAATTAACAAAGATTTGTACAGGATTAAAGTAATGCAGTTCATTGTATAGGAATAAAGTGATATTTTAAAGCATTATGTTTAGTTACAGAGCATATAACACACACACACACACACACACATATATATACACATACATATGTACACATACCCCAATAAATACTGTAAACACAAATGTATTTAGGGGCTATATATATATATTTGTATACACATGCATTGTGTGTGAGTGTATATGAATGCATCCATGTTGATATTCATAGTTATTCTTATATTCCTTGTGTTGTAAGTACCTCATACCAGCTAGTGCAACACCTGCTCTCATGTAAATACAACAAATCTGTCATATATGCAATGTAAATATGCAATACATATACTTTTATTCCTACTCTCTTAGTTTACCTTAATTTATGTCTATTTTATTATCTACCTACCTACCTCCCTCCCTACCTCCCTCCCTACCTACCTACCTCCCTCCCTACCTCCCTACCTACCTACCTCCCTCCCTACCTACCTCCCTACTGACCTACCTCCCTCCCTCCCTACCTACCTAACCTACCTACCTCCCTACTGACCTACTGACCTCCCTACCTCCCTCCCTACCTACCTCCCTACTGACCTACCTCCCTCCCTACCTACCTACCTCCCTCCCTACCTACCTACCTACCTACCTCCCTCCCTACCTACCTCCCTACTGACCTACCTCCCTCCCTACCTACCTAACCTACCTACCTCCCTCCCTACCTCCCTCCCTACCTACCTACCTCCCTCCCTACCTCCCTACCTACCTCCCTACTGACCTACCTCCCTCCCTACCTACCTAACCTACCTACCTCCCTACTGACCTACTGACCTCCCTACCTCCCTCCCTACCTACCTCCCTACTGACCTACCTCCCTCCCTACCTACCTACCTACCTCCCTCCCTACCTCCCTACCTCCCTCCCTACCTACCTCCCTACTGACCTACCTCCCTCCCTACCTACCTAACCTACCTACCTCCCTACTGACCTCCCTACCTCCCTCCCTTCCTCCCTCCCTACCTACCTACCTACCTACCTACCTCCCTCCCTCCCTACCTACCTACCTACCTCCCTACTGACCTACTGACCTCCCTCCCTACCTACTGACCTACCTACCTCCCTCCCTACCTCCCTCCCTTCCTCCTTACCTACCTACCTACCTACCGACCTACCTACTGACCTCCCTACCTACCTACCTCCCTCCCTACCTACCTACCTAACCTACCTACCTACCTACATCCCTCCCTACCTACCTACATCCCTCCCTACCTACCTAACCTACCTCCCTACCTACCGACCTACCTCCCTCCCTCCCTACCTACCTACCGACCTACCTCCCTCCCTCCCTCCCTACCCACCCACCCCCCTCCCTCCCTCCCTCCCTCCCTACCGACCTACTGACTGAAATATCACATAAAATCTAATTATTTTCTGTCGTCTTACATGTTTTAAAGTTTCAGTGTTCAGAGTTGTTCACTTCAGGTAGGACAATATATCGTGTCTTGGTTTGGACCTCAGAGAATACAAGTACATCTTCGTTTGAAATTAATATAACCCGGGGTCTTTTCTGCATACAAAACTAAAGTTGGCTTCTTAATTTAATTTCCTGTTCCACATTAAATGGTGTAGCAGTTGCATTTTGGCACCTCGTTTTCTACAGTTAGTTTAGTTAGAGCAGGTAAAAGCTGCCAGGATCTTTACTAAGTGTGCAGTCCATAAAGATGACTGACACTGGAAAAGACTAAAATTAAAGAGACACACCAGTAATAATTACATTACACAATTCCCTGATGCCAAACTAATCCCATCCAAACAGTACTAAACATTACTCCACCTTCACATGTAAAATGAATCCCAGGCAAACAGCTCTAAAGATCCCAACGTTCAAATAAGAACTTAAGGAGTGTTAAACACACATATAAATGAATGTGTTCATTAGGTTCTTTTTCTTAGTGTAACAAGACTTTCAAATACGCATTACCGTCAGGCAAACTGCCAACTAATCATTTCAGATTGACTGAGAAGATAAATGTGAATAGATTTTTTTTGTTCAGTTGAATTGATTAATCATGACAGCCTTGTCTTTTACAACCAAAAGACATGTACATTAATAACAAACTCAAATCCAAATAAACATGTTTCCGGAATGCACACCAACCAGGGCATGTATTAAAAGTGACTTTCAACAACACAGCCATTTAGCCAACTAACACTCATGTCAGCATTAAGTGAAAAAAAAAAAGCTGATAAAAATGGGGGTCTTGAGCTTTTACTGGTAACGACTTTGATTTCGTGAGCAGTCACTGCAAATTACAGTGGACAAAAGAGCCATCAAATGAAACGATTAAAAATGGATTAAAAAAGTGGGATTCCCCAGTGATGGCTCAAGCTGTGGCGGACGTTCCTGACACTAGCCTGCTGTCAGAGCAGCCATACTGAGCCATGGGCCCAGGGGGAATTGCTAATTTGGTGGACGAGATGCTAGAGGAGCCAGACATGGACCACCCGCTTCTCCAGCCTTTTATACACAGCATCAACCAGACAGGTGGGCAGACGCAGCTGGGATTCAGGTATTCATCATATCATGTGAAACATAGTTAAATGTAACAGAAATACAGCAGGAGATTATACTGTACTATATATGCAGTCGTGGGCTGGAGGTTAGGGAACCAGCCCTGTGACCGGAAGGTCACCGGTTCGATCCCCTGAGCCAACAGTATGTGACTGAGCAAGGCACCTAACCCCCAACTGCCCCCCAGGTGCCGTGGATAGGGCTGCCCACCACTATGGCCAAGTGTGCTCACTGCCCCCTAGTGTGTGTGTTCACTAGTGCGTATGTGGTGTTTCACTGACAGCTGGACTCCCCCCAGCGGTTTGTTGATTGCTCTATTCTGAAAAAACATCTAAACCTGATAACTAACTGCTGAGTTGAAGTAGATGTGCTTTAAGCAGGTAAATCATCAAACTGTGGCCCTCCAAGACCAAATATCCCCACCCTTGTTTTAGAGTGTGTGGTGCTGGAGAGGCTAAGCTGTCGTCACAGCTCCCAAAAAAAGTGCATTCCAGGCTCACATGCAGGGAATGAAGAGAGAACACTGTCTTAGCTGTGAGCCAGAACAGGCTGTATTTCAGTTTATGTATCATTCTATGTTCAGCTATGTGTAAATAAAGCTCTGCTTTGCCCCGGCGCTGTTCTCTGTGTGTGTTCCTGAGCTCACTTTTGGCTTCCCAGCCAGGTTCTTCCCCAGGTTGACCAGGGTGCCTCCCCAAACTACACGTCGAATTATATGTTTAATGATTTTACATTTTCTAAGTGAAAATAAGTTAGTACAACCCCTACAGGGAACAGACTTAAATAAGACATCTCTTCTTCAAACTGTAGTGCACAATTTCTATTTATTTTTTGAGTTTAATATATTGAAATAGATGAAACATAAAATACATAATGTGCCAAAACTTTCCACAAGCCGCAATTTATTTATTTTTTTCAGTTTTTTCCCAACGTATGTTAAATTCAGCAAATAAACAGTGATGTGCAGATGTTTTCTGCAAAGGATGTGCACTTATTTTCACTTAGAAAACAACAAAACATGTAATTCGACCAGGGTGCCCAAACTTTTGCGTACAGCATTTGTAAGCTGTGATATCTGCCAAAAGTGACGGTACAGTGTCCAAACTTTTGCGTGTGCCACCATTAGTGCTTTTCTTTTTTTAAATACTAGTTTGCTGCAAAGTTTGTGTTTATTTATTTTCAATTAAAAAAAAAAAATCAACAAAACACGTAATTTGACCAGAGATACCAGTATGATCCCTTAGGCACAAACTATGTATAAGCCTGTGACCCACTGAAAGCATCTGCCTTTTGTATGTACCTTTTTAAAGGCTTAGAAAAGCATCTTATTAAAGATCCTGAGAAGATAGTGATGTCAGTGGATTGAAGGTTCAGTGTAATTTGTGTTTGGGGCACCACTACAGCTTTTCATTTATCTCCATTCACTTGTCCCAAACTTAAACCTAAACCTAAACCGTCACCTAAACTGTGGAAACCGCACAAAAGTGCTTTTATACTAACCCAATAAAACATGCGTTCAGAAAAGCCAATAAATAGAAGAGGCAAACCTGTAGTTTTGTCTAAACTCCTTTCATTACCTGTAAAAACAACTTCCTCACTGTTCCAGTAAGTTCAGTATGCGCTGTGTTTCTCTTTGTTTTTAACAAATGTGTTCTAACCACTGAGCAACACCAAGATCAATGTTGGTTTAAAGTCAGATCTTGGCTAAACCCTCTGGAAGGAAACGGCGCTTTATGAAGAAGCGTTTTTATGTTTAAAAATTAGCACAATTTATCTTTTTCAGCCTAACCAAAAATATAGCCCAAGAAAGCCTGAAGCTCCATTAACAAACTGGGGTTCAAGTTCCACAAACTTCCATTAAACCCCTGCATTTGCATGCACCGTCTGCTAAGCGTATTCAACTGCAACATAAACAAAAGGTGCCGTTGCTTATTTTGCAACCTAAAACCTTGAGTAGATGAATATATTAGCATACAACTA